TATAATGGGTAGGTCAGTGTAGAATGTTTCTTCTGCATTATCTGTGATTACAATTCTTGTATAAATTTAAAAAGAAATGATTGCATATTGTTGAAAAAGAAAAGAAAAAAAAAAAGAAAAGAAAGAAGGAAAAATAACTTTTACTTTGTATGTTTCTTATATTATAATATTACGTTGAAAAATAAATAAATAATTGAAATTGATTTTTTTTTTATTATCTTTCTAATTAGAAGAATGAGATCCTTGATATTTTCAGAATATATTATAATAGATTGTGTGTACATATGTATGTCCTGCGTAAACTGAATGGAAGAAAACAAATAAACACTGGCTGACCCGTTAATGATAATAATTATATGTTAAAAATTCTATAAATAAATAAATATATATATATATATATATATATATACATATATATATATATATATATTTTGTTGCAATCGACTTTGACCTGGGCAGGGTTCCAGTGTGTCCTATATAATACTATTATTATTATATAATATATCAGTATTTTGTGTATTTTTTTATCAAGTTGACAAAATAATAATTGTTAATATATTGTGCAAATATCAAACAGATACCGTCCAAGAATAATAAACTATAAGGTTGACGATTAAGTTTTCCCTATACCTGAAAACATTTGGATAGAATAGATGATAATTGTAGTCTAGAACAAACCTTTTGCTCTTTTTTATATATATATATTAGACCATAACAGGGTGTCTCAAAATATTCTGGCATAACTTTAGGAATAAATTTACCCATCACGTTTGCTTCATCTAAATTCGTTGAATTTTTATTTGTGGGAGTATCAAATTTTTAGTTTACTACATCTTGATAAAAAATATTGAACGTAATCACTTTGAATAGTTTCTATATATGAAAATTATTTAATAATTTATATAATACAAAAATTTTTTTGCGCTATAATTTGGAAACATGTGTACTGAAACAACCCTGGAAGTTATGTTCATATATTTTGATTATTGAAAATTATTAATTACGTTTTTCTTTGGGCAATTTTGATAATTTATTTATAAAAAAATATCGTAACATTTTTTTTGAAAAATAAAAACTAAAAAGAAAAGAATAAAAAGAATTTCGATAACTTGGGCACAGTTCGATTGATACTTTTACTAATAATAATAATAATATTAATAATAATAATAATAATAATATTGATAATAATAGTATTAATAAAAGAACAAAAATTGATTTGGTGATTTACCTATTTTATTATTTTTTGCTTTCTTCCAATGAATGTTTTTACGATAAGCTGTTGATTTTGTCTGTAACGTTAAATATTACCAATGAAACTTATATAAGATGTGTTCTAAAAATATGTTTAAGCAATATGATTATTTGTCAACACTTGTTACACGAAAACTTGTTTTGCACTCAACAACCAACAATATGTCAGAATAATCGGCCGTATTCGCCAAGGACAATTGAAAATACTTATTTAAACAGGTAAATATTCTTTTTCTTATTTTACAGTCTTATATCTAATTAAATAAAATTTGTGTTATACATTCTTATCTTTTAATTAATGCTTACTTTAGCAACATGTTTGCTTGAAGAGAGATTAGAACAAAAAAGAAATGAAAGATACAATGCACTATGGTCTAGTAAAAATAGTTATTTATCTAATTAAGATATTTTTGTATTTTTATTAAAAAAAAGAACAAAAAAAATGTATAGTTCACAGTCTAAAGAGTACGACCTTAAGATCATTACCGACACATTCTCATAAGAAAACTATTTGTAATTTGATTTATATCAAAGTTGAAGATCCTTTATGCGCATACTCCGTTCTGCAGTGTCCGTTAAATGAAGAAAATTTGGACCAGTGCCGTTTGGTACATCATCAACGAAAGAGGCAAGTTAAAACATTTAGAAAATTGTCTCATTCTTCATATAATATTTAGTGACATTCCGATTGTACGATGTCATCATCGTAAATGAATTGAAACGTTCACAAAAATTACAACACTTATTATTTTATTATTATTATTATTATTATTATTATTATTCAACATATTTTACGCGACCGAAGTAATTAATTGATCGGTTAATAGAGACATTAGACGAGTTTGAAATTCCTTAAGATATACATATTAAACAGTGTGTCAATAGAATTTCAAAACAATAACGTGAGATAATTATTAGCCAATAAACGTCGGTAATAAAAATTCACTCGGTAATGCAGTTAATCGTGTTCTCGATAGTGAAAGTAAAATTTAGTTCGATATATGCCCGCTAGGGGAAAAGATTTTTTCGAGATTCCAAATTTTTCTTTTTTATTATATTTCTGATAATTTTTACATATATTAGGTCGACTCTACTTTAACGCAACGATTACATACGCGAAAGGATATTTCTTCTCAAATTATTTTTATCTTCTTCCACCGTGAAAGAGTGAGTCGATTTTTATTCATACAACAAAATTTAACTATCGAAATTCAAGAGTGTAATTTTATATATCTATCATTTAAATATTTATTATAAAATTAATATTCGCTGAGACGATCCAAATAACACTTGTTTACAAGTTATCGGATATTTAACTGGTTGATCTTGAATTTTTAAATATCAAATATTATACATAGAAGTAAAATCTGATACGATTATCTATCTATAGGTAATATGTGTTATCGAACCGGTGCATTAAATCAATGCACCAATGTGATTTTATTTATTTCTATCTTTCATACTTTTTTTTATCTTATGTTAGATGGAAAATTCAAGATAACCGAGATTTAGTTATCGATAATATAACAACGAGTTAATTTTATTATTAATGCATATCTTATCTTAAATATTTAATTGATAAATAGATATTCGCGGTAACTCATAAGCTTGTATTCAGATATCGACTTTACGTTATAACGACGTGCTAAATTTCATTTGTTTGCTAAACAAACAAGTAAGAATAGAAATTTAACGAAACAAAGTTCGCCTTAGTAACAAATAAGAAGAATTCGATGTAAAATCTATTATAAAGATTTTTAACGATCATATGAAATGTGTGGATGAATGGTCATATGGTTGGCTTGTAAGTCCAAATAAAATTTCAAAAAACAACTTTTTTATCTCGTAATCTTTCTTATCTCAAGTAAAGATTAAAATTTATCAGACAAATAATTTCCATCCAATCACGCGCGCATTCATACATTTCGAAACATGAAATAAAAATATTTTTAAATAAAAAAAAAAAAAGAAAAAAAAAATGATTGAACAAATTGATTTTTTCTATAGGGTGTAACAATAAAAAAAAAGGAAACAAAGTACCAGAAGTATCTCACCAATGACATAATATAAATGAATGTTACTTAAGATTACGAAAAGAAGTTGAATTGTTTTTAAAGTAAATCTGTTAGAGAAAGAGAGATAAAGTATCGATAAATGAAGCGTCCTGTTCTTAGGTAACAATAAAAAAATAATAAAGAAAAGTGGGTAGTGGGTGCGGAACGAGAGGAACCGAGCGTTGAACGGAAAGGAACGAGGCGAGCCGAATTAAAACGAAGTTCAGCCGAAGTAACACGGAATTGCACGGTTCTATATTGAATATGTGTTGGTGGTGATCATCGTGTTTGGTTAACACTTTGTTGTGTGTTACGACCATAAGCTATATAACACACGCACGTTAAGTGCTTAATATACGTCAACGTAAGAGAGATAAAGAAGAAACACATAGAGCAACAATAAGAGAGAAAAAGAGAGACGAACAGAGAAAGAGAGAGAGAGAGAAACGTTGGAACACTCGCGTTACACGCACACACACACATATTAGAATACATATATTCCTAGTTATAGGTGAAAAAGATACTTGAAAGAGATGTCAAAAAAAGGAGTTGTTATGGCTGCAGCGGGCTGGCCCAGAGCATGGGAACGTGGGGGTCTAATAGGTGCAGGGGTAGGAGCTGCTGTTGGAAGGAGAGCTAATCGTTCGCGTCTGTCGAGTATAGGACCGATAGTTCTGCCGGTGGCTGTTGATACGACGGTCATGAGTCGCACAATGGCACGCACTGCTTCTAACAACATGAAGGTCCTTAACGAGGATAACATTTATGAGAATATCAAAAAAATGGAATACGCCGTGCGCGGTCCTTTATTGATACGTGCCAACGAATTGGAAAAAGAATTGCAAAAGGTAAGAATTCCTCCGTTCCTTTTGTTTATATATATATATATTTTTTTTTCTAGTTCCTTTTTATTGTGTTGTAATTGATTTTTCTTTTTAAAAATTTCATTTTTATACGCGAGTAAATATTATAGTCGACATAAAAAGGAACGATAGTCAATGAAATCAACGCGAATCAGAAAGAGAGATAGAAAGATAGAAAAGTATTGAAAATCGTGAAATTAAACAATTGAAGGGTGCATTTGCAAAAAGGCGGTAACAATTTGAACGAGTTTCTAATTTGAACCAAAGGCGCCAATTTTCAAACGAGAACCTTTTGTTAATTCGGATTATCTTACCGTCCACAATGATTGATGACGCATAAAACGGTTACCGCCATTTTTTTTTTCTTCTCATCATCGGTGTACGCATTTGCGTGGATGCATGCGTGTACTCAACCACCTGTCACATTTTCTCTTGACACTTTTACGAAGTCTTTCCTCTTTAATACTTATCGAATGCAATGTTGATTTTGTTCGAATTTAATTCGTATATGTAATGGAAATAAAAGAAAATATTCAATCGATTCGATTGTACACGTAATTCTTACGTGTATGGATTAGTTTGACGCGGGATATAGAACTATAAATAGTTAGATACTTTTGCGATATTGAAGGAGAAATTATGCACACAGCATTCGTAAATATAAAGGATTGTACGATGATGATGCACACTCACGAGCGGTCGCGTGATGACGTTTAGCTAATTTTACGTCAATTCTTAACGCGTTTAATATTACTATTTCTTCTTGCTTTTAGGTTCCAAATAAATGCGTAGTTGTATCGTATAACATATTAGCAATATTCTCTTATTATACAATAATATATATAATTATAATATAAAATACATCACAAAATTAATTTCTCAAATATGTATATATATACAAAAATCACAAAAGTAACTCATATGTTTCTAAAGTTTTTCAATACTGGCAATGTGATGTCAAATACAATAATAGTTTTAAAACAAATCCAGAAATCAAAATCTAATTAAGTAATTTCCATCACACAGGAAATAAAAGATAATAATGTATTTCTTCTGAGATAACTGAGTTTTGAAATCGAATTTTATCAAAATTGAAATGACTAAATGTAATTAATAGAATGTTTGACCATCAACGAAAATACAAAATATCTACTATACACGGAACATTATTTCGAAATACAAATTGAGGATTAATATTATGAACCTTTTTTTTATGAAGATAAGCTATCTCGCGTTTATATGAACTTTTGTTTTAAATTGTTTTTGGTCACTTCTGAATTACACGTGTGAAATTCCCATATATTACATTGTATATTAAAATTAAAAATAATTCCATATCAAACCATAATGTAAGCTATACCTTATGTAACAGGTAATCTATTTAATTAGATACATCCTGTATAGTCATGGAAATATATACTACATATATATATGTAAATATATTAGTCATGCTATTATAAATACTCTGACACATTATTTTCTCTGTTAAATAATTGAACTAATTTTTACATTGCATTTTATTTGTTGGTACCAGGGTGCTAAAAAACCATTCAAAGAAGTCTTGAAAGCAAATATTGGAGATGCCCATGCCATGGGACAAAAGCCTATAACATTTTTACGTCAAGTATTAAGTTTGACCACGCTTCCGTCTCTCTTAGACGATCCCAGTTATCCGGAAGATGCTAAATCTCGTGCTAGAGCGCTTCTTCAAGCGTGTAAAGGAAGCGTCGGTTGTTACACCGAGTCTGTGGGAATGGAAATTGTTCGTAAACATATAGCGCAATATATTGAAGAACGAGACGGTATACCGAGCAATCATCAAAATATTTTTCTCGGCAATGGTGCATCGGATGCCATCAAAGTATGCAATTAATTATACAATATATTATATTCCCTTTTTTATTTTTTTTTTAATATTTCTTACAATCATTTTTGATCATTGTATTTCTTATAATTCTAGTCCGTCCTGAAATTATTTGCTCAAAAGATTGATAACAAACCAACAGGAGTTATGATACCGATTCCACAATATCCATTGTACAGTGCAACTATATCCGAATTTGGTCTTGGCGAAATTGGTTATTATCTGGACGAAGATAATAAATGGGCATTGAATATTACCGAATTAGAAAGGGCGTTAAACGAAGCGAAAAAATGGAGTAATCCTCGTGTGCTAGTTGTAATCAATCCTGGAAATCCAACTGGTCAAGTTTTAAATCGGTCTAACATAGAAGACATTCTTCGATTCGCTCACAAACATAAACTTTTCATATTCGCGGATGAGGTTTATCAAGACAATATATATGACAAGGACTGTTGTTTCCATTCGTTCAAAAAAGTTGCTGTTGAATTAGGACCGCCTTACGATCAAATGGAATTGGCCTCTTTTATGTCTATATCAAAAGGTATCATAAAAAAAAAATCAATAAATTTATCACTCATGTTATTTGTAATACGTGTAAAAATTCTAAAATACATCTTATTTCTACTAGGATACATGGGAGAATGCGGCATACGTGGTGGTTACGCGGAACTCGTAAACATTGATCCAACAGTAATGAAATTATTACAAAAGTCAATTTCAGCCATGTTATGCCCGACCGTTTTAGGCCAAGTTGTGTTGGATGTAGTAGCGAATGTACCCAAACCCAACGAACCATCTTATGCAAAGTTTGAAGAAGAAAAACGTAATACTCTGTTGTCTTTAGCGGAAAGATCGAAATTAGCTGTAGATATGTTGAACAGTATTCCAGGTTATAAGGTATTATTGCAATTGTTTCTTTCTAATATCTTTTGAAATTGTTGTTTTATACGCGAGATTATCCAAAAAATTAATAATCATCTTTTTTATTTACAGACTAATCCATCTATGGGTGCGATGTACGTGTTTCCACGATTTGAGATCCCACCAAAAGCCGTAGAAGCAGCCAAAGCTAAAGGCCAAGCTCCGGATCTCTTCTACGCTTTTAAACTATTAGAAGAAACTGGAATTTGTGTTATAGCCGGTTCAGGTTTTGGCCAATTACCTGGAACATATCACTTCAGAACAACCATTTTACCGCAAAAAGAAAAGATGAAAACGATGTTGACTAGTCTAAAAGAATTTCATTTAAAGTTCCTCAAAGAGTATAGTTAAAAACAAAAAAACTAAATTGTTCGATGCATTTTATCCTGCACAAACATACACGTATACGCGTGAAATCATATTTTACTCGGACCCGACACTAACATCACGTTAAAACTGTTCGTTTGTGCTTGTTACATTGTTAATGAGTACTTGTAAATAGAAGAGTAAAAGTGCAATTACATTGAAAAAAAAAAGAACAAAAACAACGAGTATCAGTCATCGTCTCGGTTATACACTATATTAATATTTACTATTTATCAATAAATGTACTATATCTAAAAGTTCATATTCAATATTTTACAACTTATATTCTCAAACACATAAATATATATATATATATATATATTATTTTTTAGATATTATATGCATATACGTATTTATCTATACTACGAGATACGTGGATCTAAGAAAATATTATTTACACGAAACGTAGATAAAAAAAAATAAAAAAAAAAATGGAATTTTATACTTTGAGAAATAATTTGAAGAAATGATTTCAGAGATCAGAGGATAACCTTTCTATTTCATCGACAAAAAATCTCATGTCTGCTCTAGTCAGTCCAGAATTTTGTAATACAAGCCTGAAGAAATTAGGAAGATTGCGTAAGGATTGATACGTGATTAGCATTGACCCTTTGCGGACCATACGCTCCTTGATGACCGGAGCAATTTTATGCAAAAGATTGGACAATTGTTCGCCTTTTAAATGACGTTTCGATGGTGGCGTATACCAAAAACAAACGTTGGTACATTCGGGCTCGAATATGAGCTTCCATCCCTCTCGTTGGCGAATGTAATCCGTAAAACATCGTGACAATTCGAATACGCGATCAATGTGTTTTTCAAAACCGTTTGTACCTTTGGCCTTCCACATTAACCAAAATTTCAATACGTCAGCTCTTCTGCCGCATTGAACGTGTTTGTCACCTGAATCGTAAGAAGTATCGTAAAACTTGTCAGGTTGAAACAAGTAGCTCGCTTTGGAGGCATGTGCCGATTCCAATAAACCTTCGTGGTGTACCAAAAGGGTCGAACATTGTTGAGGTGCTGCGAGCAATTTGTGAGGATTCCAAGTAATCGAATCTGCCAGTTCTATACCATCGAGCAAGAAACGATACTTTTTCGACATCAATGCACCCCCACCCCAAGCTGCGTCTACGTGGAACCACATGTCGTATTTTTTACAAATAGCAGCTATTTCTTTAAGTGGATCGAATGCACCCAAAACCGTGGTTCCAGCTGTTGCAGATACCATCAAGGGTACAGCTTTTTGATCCAGTACTTCGTTTATTCGTAATTCCAAATCCTTTAAGCACATTTTACCACGTTCGTCAACTTTAACGCAGTAAACGTTACTGGCCCCGATACCAAGAAAAGCTGCTAATTTTTTAACAGAATAATGAGCATCCTCGGACGTTAATACCACCAGCCTAGAAACCTGCGTCGAACCAGTTTCCTTGTATTCCGGGAATTTATAATGACGCGCCAAATTGATGGCATAACCATTGGCCATAGAACCACCGGGACAAAATATCCCATCGCCTCGACCATTTTCCCAACCAATTATTTTCCTCATTTCTTTCAACACCTCGTTCTCCATCAAAGAAAATACCGGGGATACCTCGTAAGTGTAAACCGAAGGATTTAAAGCATCGGTCAACCATTGACCTGCTAAACCATAAGGATCCACGCTGGAAAAAAGTTGATTGACGAAATGCGGATGACCTGTTTTCACGCTATACTTTATAATATTTCGTGTTAACGATAGTAATTCTTCGTGCGATACTCCGTTCATTGGCAAGGACAAATCTACCAGAGAAGACAGAGTCTTTGGTTCAACCCATTCGACGACTTTCTCATTCCTCAATGTACCCTGAAAAAAATAATCGTTCGTGTAAATTCGTTTATCCAATATTTCCATCATTCTTTGTTATATCTAATTTCTATTTCTTGCATTAAAAGTATGCACAGAAAAACTTCCAATATTAAAGTGTAGATATTCGTTCATTCATTCATTATAAATGTAATTACAAATGTCAAGCTTCAATTGTATGTGTATAGATGTATTCATGTCATTTATATTTTATATGTGATGAAATCAATTTCATCAATCGATTTTCTAATGTACATTAGCTTGTCCTTGTTCTACGATTGTAGAAAGCAAATATATATATATATATATACATACATACACACCATATACATACTTATATACTTTGTATATTACGGAATTACAGATTTTGTGAGTCATGCATTCCACGATATGTAATAAAAACATATATGCGTATGTGTGTACATATATAAATGTATGTGAATTCAAATTTGTACAAGTTTAATTATCGATCTACACAAAAAAATGTAATTAATGTGTATCTCTCGGAATTTTACAACGTAAATTCTCATTCATAACTCGTGTATTAAACATTTGTGTTACCAATTAATGTAGGTCATGATGAGTATAATATAATTGGTACGTATAAGTACTTTTTTTTTTTTGTCAACGAGACGGTAATAATGATTACAAGAAAAAAAAAATAATAATAATAAAAGGAGAGAAAATTGTTCACTGTGCATAAAATTGTTACTTCGGTTTAATCGTCTATGTTTTTATTTGTTTCACTCTGTTGATTACGAATTACAATGATTTTTATAATTTCATATGACCTCAGTCAACATGATAGTTTTCTTCCTAACACGTAAAATGCGTCACTTCCGGAAATTCGAAGACAAAAGATATACTATGCAACGATATATATAATCAGATAGGATTATTTAAGAATTAAATTCGAAATAAATTTTTACAAAAGTTATCTTCACATTTGAATTTTCACAATTTATTTGAATATTAAAGCGTGCCCAATTGTGCATACTCTTTTTTTTATATATATTTAAATAATATAAAGAGTATAAATACTTTCAGATATTATTTTGTTGAAACTATAAAAAAAATTAAACTTTTGTACAAATCTCAGGTATATTTGGGGACTATTTTATCGAATATTTTTAGATCCACGAAATCGGATTTCTAGAAATTTTATTCTCAAATAATTTTATGAGATCTATATATGTAATATAATTAAATAAAACAATAATAAGAAAAAAAATAATTTGAAAAGAAATAATAATAAATATTTACCTCGAAAACAGCTTTATCCAAGACGACGTCGATGAAATTCCTTAAAAATTGTTCGTGAACGATACGATTGGGTAAACTTCCGTAACATCCCTTAACTCGATTAATAATTTCTTCATTATCGTTTGATAAATCATTGGATAAACGTTCGCCAATGACAATTTTCGATTCGTTTGAATTGTTTGTTTCACTGTGTACTTCCTTCGACGACATTTTAAAACCATTAAAAAAAATATTCTTAAAATTAACTGAATCACACGGTTTTCTTTTTTTTTTTATGAAAATCTAAACTTTGTTGTTTTCATATAGATCAATGTATTTTTTATTTATAATAAAAACTTCGTAAATACGTTTCTTTAAGTATATAAAACAACAAGGTTTTCCTCGTTCTAATCTTCTGGAATAAGAGTCCTCACGGGTCTGCTGCCTTTATATATATTAAAGCCTTAAAGACCAAGGACAAAAAACGTTGCACCTCCCCCCCTCTCCATTTTAAAAAGAGAACTACCGCGTTCCGTAGCTTTAGCTTGATTTCTTCCTTGTGGATGGTTTCTCGGAATAATCATTTTACCACTTCCCCATTTTCTTACAATTTCAAAATTAACGGGGAAAAAATTTATATTAATTATTCCAATAAAAAAGTTTATTACTTAATTTTTATATATATATAAGTAAACATCCTTTGAAACTACTTACGCAAAGTATTCGAACCTTCATTTCTTTTTTGTTTTATTTTTTAAATGGAAGACAAAATAAATGATCAATTATTACACATCTATTACACATGGAAGAAACGCGTTAATTTGTAATCAAAACAATAATATTAATTAAAACACTTTATTCTCACCGTACACAATAACGATCGTAATACTTCCTTTTGATCTTGATTTTTTTCGCGTTAATTTTGTTTTCTTTTGTTTTTATTTATATGATTAATTTTCTATGCAATGAATCGTGCGAATGTTTATTAAACTTTGATCTCCTCATTCGGGGTTTTTACGCTTCTTTAACTAACAAGCTGGCAAACTAGTTATGCGTGTGTAACTGACACCGGTAAATGCAATCTTGGTCGCATGCGCGAAAAGTATAAAAGGAAAGGTGTAGAAAGAAAATAACAAAAAATAAAAAGTAGCATAGTTTATAAGAGAACGGTAGAAGGAAAGCCGTTCGTTACAATTTAATTGTAATCAAATATGTTCGTTTGCAAAGATTGATCTAATAAAAACGATTTTTGTGCTTTCTTTCCTTTCCTTTTGATTACTTTATTTGATTATTTTTCTTCTTCGAGATAAATTTATTTCGTATTTTTTTATAATTCAAATTTAAAACTCACCAAATTCAAATTCGATGACTTACCCAGTACCAATAACGAGATGTCATTGTTCAATGTATATCTTAAGGGGTTACATGGGTTTGGGACTTTCAAAAAAATCAATTTTTTTTATCTTTTTAAATTCTACAACTTATCTAGAATATTGTATTAAATTTTGAAGTCAATAGGAGTAATAGTTTAAAAGATAGAGCCTTGAGAAGTTCCACTCTTAAATGGTTCTTTTATCATCACTCAAAATTTAAAACGCGTTTTCCTCAAAACGCTTTTTCTAAAATCGGTTGTCAAAATTTCTCGAAAACTATTTAACCGATCTTAATGAAATTTGCTACACGTCTTCAAGATACTATTGACAAGGACTTGGATGAAGGATTTTTTTTTTTTCATCAAATCGAATTTTAAGAAACCAAAATGTGGTGCAAATTGTAGCGAAATTTGAATGTTCTTGCCAAAAACGTTGCCAAAAATCCAAATTTCAATTTTTTTTTTGTATCCTTCGTCCAATTTCTAGTGTTAGGTATTCATTAAAAGACCCTATTTTTTCCACTGAAAAACCCCCACCGTTTATGAGTTCTGCTGTCAACGCGAAAACACTTTTTTTCGATGGGGTCACCGGAAACGACGTCGCAATGACTGAGTTTAAAATATTTTTCAACCAAAATTTCCGAAAATGTTCTTTAAATATGTATCTTAAATGCTATAAAAAGTTTGAATAAGAATTCCATTTTTTATATAGAAAAAAAAAATTGTTGAAAATATGCTATTTTTTCCCGGTGTAAACCCACGTAATCCCTTAAAGAGGACGTATGAGAGACTTTCGAAAACTAGTCAACCGGGAAAGGTTTTGCTCAATGTTTTAACTTATGACCTTGTTTATTACGATTCAATAATGTACAATAGTAAAAGTATGCGATCGATAACGATCGAATTCCGTTGAATAATATAAAACGTTATTTTAATGAAATACGTAACAAAAACAAAATAAAAAAAACCAATTGCACATTAGACGTATTATATTTTTGCCTTTGATTTTATTTAATCTTATTTTTTTAAATTCTTTTCCTTGTATAAAATTTATTATATAAAACGTATAATATTTTCGTATTGTTTATTATTTATTAATCTAGTTTCCTTTTTTCAAGCTCATTAAATTCCTATATACGAACAATTATTATTGGAAATCCCTTAAATGTTTTATCTGCTCATCCTCCTTTTCGATACTCAAGGGAATTTCCCCATATATCAACGATTGGTAAATACAAGATTTACGATAAGGAAAGGCCTTAACACTCGTTCGAATGACGCACGAGAGTAATTTTTAAATACTATTTAGTTTTTTTCATTTTTTTTTCTATACCACCTTTTACTCCATCTATTAACCCATTTGCATTATGTGTCTACTTTAGTTTTCTTGTCCAAACATTAGCGACGTTCAACTGTCGACTGACCCATATCACCGATCAAATTCTCACAGATAGAAAAACTAATGTTTCTTATGCGAAATAATCCACGTTTAGTGATAACAGACAGTCGCAGTTCGTGGATATATTCACGCTTGGATGTAAATGAGTTAATAAGCAACAAATACCTGGCTCTAAAATTCTATTTTTATCAAAAATACATTTTTAAAAAAGAAAATGCAAAAAAATAAGATTTATCTATAATAAAATAATCTATTAAATCAATTATCTTTTACGTTCACGCGTAATACATTTTAAAATTATATCAGTTAAACTCTTCTACAGTGGGTGATCGGTTAAAAGTTCAGACAGTGTACACTTTTGCTAAAGATTCTTATGTTCGAACAATAAACATGAAAAGATACACTGTATGTAAGATTTGTAGAATTTGTATTACTTTTAACAAACAATTCATACAGCGAATATCGTCTTGGAATGGATTATGTTCGTTGATTGATCAACCACTATACTTTCTTTATTTTATCACAAGTCTGTTAGAAAATATAACAATTTTATTTACTACGTTCCAAGTTATCGACTCTTATATTTTACTATATATATCTATATTAATATTATTTAATAAATTTTATTATTATTATTAATACAGATTTGTTTTTTTCAAAAGAGCACTTAATAAAACTACATATTTATATGCGTAACAATAAAATAGCATGGAATACTTGCATAAGATTAAATTCTATATATATATAAGAACGAATGTCTATCACTCAGCAAACAAAAATTTTGGAGATTCAAGGCCTTAACACCAAATTATATGATTTACCTGATCTACTAAAAACAACAAGTTTGCGTACGAACAGATGATAATCCTAATTCATATAAAATGTATACTTTCAGTTTTCTTTTTTACGTAGCTAAAAATAGGATTTTTCTATTAGATTATTTAATATTAGCACAGCTCTCATTGTATTATATAAAATTGTTTCTTGGAATGCAAAAGCGCATATAATGTTATCATATCTCATTCTTTCAAAAAAAAACTGTTGTTATTTCCTTTTCTTTCCCTTAAAAATATTAACAGCAGGAATCTTTAGAAGTCGCAAATATTCACAGCGATAGACCTTATCTTAGATATTTCTTACAAATTATAATAAACTTTATCTTTTCAACAATATTGAAACAATAACATAGATTTTGAGAGCATCAATAATGTTAACCAAAGTATGCACCGCAATTAGAACAACGACGTGTCTTCAATAAAAGACAACAAATTATTCCAAGCGGAAAGAATAAAATAGCGCATAACAGACCCAAGCATGTATAATCGTCTTCCATAACACCTACCTAAATTTTGGTAACAAAAAAATAATAATTTCAATTATACCTGCCGATGACAAGAATTCCCATTATTTCATAGAACATTGGAAAATAAGTTTTAATACTTATCGAGTTTGAAAAAACTTACTCTACATGCTGGACAACCTCCAACGAGAATTACTTCTGGTACTACGATTGTCGTACTAGGTTGAATGGTTTGAGTAGCTCCATAGGATGGTACATTGCTACCTTGATAAGGAGTGGCTAGCGTACTCGGATAATATCCAGGAGGTGGTTGCCATGAAAAGTTTTCTACAAATATACATTTACTTAATTTTTATTATTCTTATTTATTATAGTTTATATTAAATTAAAAATAAAAGAAGATAATAAACTATCTACGACTTAGTTTTATGACATCATCATGATAAAGGAATGTTATTATCTTATTGATTACAACACCTATTATATTACTTTTTATATCCCACAAAGATTTATCTAATGTGCTAAATTTTGTGCACATATAAGGAATAAAATCAAATATTTCTTAATAAAATAGATTAACCATTAAATAATATCTAAAAATAACCTCTGAATGAAATTTTAGGAAAAAAAAATGTTGAACAATTATGTGAAAATATTAATTGCATTTCGAATCGTAAATAACCTAATTTGTTTGTACGTATGAACATACCCGTTGGCGCAGTTGCAGGAGAATAAGGAGGTGGCTTGTCAGCTGGAGAATTAAGTAATTTGCTCTCCATAATCAAAATATACAAAATTACATATGACAATATCCAACGACCAATAGTATAAATACAATACTAAATCTTAAAAGATTAGGCGATTATATGAACACTGGATGAACGCCCCCTTACACTTCTCTTCAATACATATGTGTATATGTTGCGGCGGGTGTATATGTGTGTGTTTCTACTTTTAATTGCTTGACAGATAGTGCGCATACAAAGAAAAAAAAACTTGCATTCAAATCTTCTGACATTCTTTCAACTCTTATTTTAATAACGAACATTATACAACGAAATAATTATTATAATTATCCCTATATAGTTTTAAAAATCATCTTGTATTTATCTTTCATATTTTTCTTTTCTTTTTTTTCAATGTAATTTGTAAAGATACTTTTGATTTATATATTTGAAAATAATTGTTGAATAAAAAGAAATGTTTTTGTGATTTTATTTAAAATGAAAGATAACTTTTAAAGTTCATCAATTGCTATGATTTTTTATATTTTTATTTACATGTTAACATTTAGATAAAATTACTTTTATGTAAATATATCAATCAAATATATAAAATCAAAAATATAAAAAGATTTATATCTATAGATAGGATATAATAAGCAATATAATATCAAATTAAACAATTGATTATTTATTAATACAATTGAAAATCTTAAGGAAACCTTACCTGTTTTTAATCTTAAGAGAAAATAATTGAAATTAAATCATTTGTTTTAAAAATACGAGAAATGAATTCTTATAAAATATTTCTGATTGGTTAATCTTCGAGATATTGTTTTCTGATTGGTGGAGATTGAAGTGAATAACAGAAATTGAATATAGTTGAAAGAAGTATAGAGAAGAGAAGAATAATTTAGTGAGACTGATAGTGGGTGACGTCGGTTGAGTTTGTTTTACACTATTGTAGTTTGTAATCAATAACTATATTTATGACGGAAAATGTATTGCAAAACGGCATGGAGCCTTTTCAGGTATTATATTTTCTTCAATCTAATGTTTAAACGCATTAATATGATTACTTTCTATTCCACGAGGTTAGAATGTCAATATTGTTGACTTAAATAATAATAGAAATTATTTTTGTTTTACTGAAATTTTTGTTTTTACAGAATCCTGATTGTGTTCCTTTGGAAGACTTGATATTAACAATTAAAACTGGTGGTATTCCAGATTTAGTTCCTGCTTTAGTAAGATCATTATTTCATAATATTGGATAATTTTGAAATACTTCAATGCTTCTTTCAATTGTTTCTATGATTAATAATAATATTAACTTCTTGTGTTATTTATTTAGTATCATTGTTAATGAAATCTGTTTAAGGATGAAAAATGGGTTGAAGAACGATATTTTTTGCATTATGAAGTTCCAAATATTTATGATAGTAATGGGACTGAAATTTTGGGTGCTAAAGAACATTGGATTGAAATTATGGGTTACATGATCGATGATTTAAAATGGGTTCTCACTATTCCATTTTACAGGTACCCATATGCATATCTCTTTCATCATATTCTAATGAATTAATTTAATTTAGAATAAAAATAATCAAATATGCGTTTTGTTACGATTGTTAAATTTCATTATTGTTTATTCAGGTTCTGGTCAAATGTTGTATTTAATTCTTCAATACTAGATGCATTGGTATCTTTCTTGCAAGAAGCTCCACCGTATTATGCTTTAGAAAGTTTTCCTAATGATTCAGAAATGCAAAATACTTTAGAAACACTTCGTCATTATGTACTTTTGATTTTCGCTCGTCTAGTTACCAACAAGGAAAGTCCTACAGAATATATGATGGTTCCATACCTTGGAAAAGTATTGTACGATCATTTTATATTTACCGTACCTATTATTTATGATTTATGCCAATTGTATGGTCGTGAAAATGAGAAAACAGTGTCAAAAATTTTAAATAGTTTGTTCACTATTCAACCATTGTACAATGTTGACATTGAAAAGTCTGTCCCTTATCTCGTTGAGGTAAATAAATGCTTTCTATCATCTTCATTCTATGTTTTGTAACATGTTCGCTACTGTGCAGCAGAGAAAAGATTCCAACCACAGCATGGAAGTTAGTTTTCGCATTGATCACTGTCACAAATATTTGACGCTAAAATATTAATGGAAATTGATGTGTTGCGGATATCTAATACTAGTAGCGAACATGTTAATGATATTATAATGTATTTGTTAGTATATTTATACAAATATTTTCTTTTTATTTAGGCTCTTGGTAACGTAGAAAGAAAATTTCAAGAACGACCTAGCTATTTATTGGATGAAGCTGTACCACTTTTGAACGAACCACCAATTGAAATTACCAAAATTACTTTGTTCTCGTTGGAGGATATGATACTATATGTCTTAGATATATCTTCTACGATTACTATATTTTTAAAAAATTATCCACTGGCAATTAAAAAATATCGTAATGACAATTTCATAAACGAGTAAGTTAATATCTTGATTTAACGATCTATTTGTTAAACAAATTTGATTACTTTTAATTTTTTTTCATATTAGGATAGTTTCTATATATGAAAATACAATACCTAAAATGTATAAAAAATTGAATGAATTAGCATACAACGAAGAAAATTTAACTAAATTTATAGAGCTAAGGCATCGTTTAGATGTTACTAGAATAGAATTATTACATCTGTATCGAACCCTAGTGCATGAGCCTGTGGAGAATATACATCAGAAACTGTAAGATTTTATCATTAATCATTGACTCTTCTCATTTCATAATTTCACGTATTAATGCATTTGTTTATATGTAGTGATACATTAACGGAAGATGAAATAAAAGACCGAGTTGATGATTATTTGAACTTATTAAGTAATGCCATATCGGAAAAAGAATTTATCACAGATTATCATCAATTTTATCCAGTAGGATTGGACTTGGAAGAATTGTCAAAAATTTGCCCTGAATTGTATCCTTGATATAATATCAATGTATTAATTCTTAATCATTTTATTTTATTTATTAATAATATGGACTTAACAATTTATTAGAGATACCATAAAACGTAATTATATATTGCAAGCAGTTTACGCTGCTATAGGGGATTCTCAAATTTCATTTATCTTATCTTCTAATAATAAAAAAGTAAGTAGATCAAAGAAGAAGTAAATGTTTTTTAAAATTTTATGGCACATCTAAGTAAATGAAATTTTAGGAATCTATAGCAGGGCCTAGTAACGTAGAAATTAATCAACCATCGACATCCAAGAATATTTTTGCTGAGAATGTAACACTCAAACCTGTCCGAAGATCATCCATTGAAATAGCTTCTCTTATCAGTGAAGTGAAAGATATTTTAAACGACTTAGGAGAAGGTTTTATTCAGGTTGTATATTTTATTCTATGGTTAAAAAAAAACAATATGAAATTAATATTATTGATAATATTTTAGATGTGCTTGAAACATTACAACTACGATACTGCAGCTGTGATAAATGCTGTTTTAGAACAAACTTTACCTTCGCATTTGAGCGAACTAGATTTTTTCTTACCGTACATTCCACCAGATACTGAGGTATTTATAAATACACTTAAAAGAAAATTAATCTAATATTTTCTACACTTACTTCAATAATGTGTCTTATAGGAAGAACCTGCACCCGAAGTAGTAAATCACGATATTATTTCGGAAAGACTTAACGTATTTGATAATGATGAGTTTGATATTATGAATAGAGACGATATCGATATGTCGAGAATTCATAAAGGCAAAAGGTAATTATAGCATAAAATAAAAATTACGTATTTCTGATATACCACCTAGAACTACATATTTTCTATTTTTTTTTTATATATAGAAAAGATAAATACAGGAATATGAATGAATTATTAAATGATAAATCAGAAATTAGAAAAGTTTCTGATATATATAGAAAGTACAGTTTGGTTGTTGATAATTACGACGATGAGTACGATGATACGTATGATAGTCATGATGTAAGGGGTACAACGCAAGATGATATTGCAGAATCTAGAGCTTTTACTACTCCTCGGGTTGGTTGATACATTATTTGGTTTCGTATAATAATTTTGTTATATTTCGAATATTACATGTATTTAAGATACAGATTTGTCATATTTTTAAATAATGGTTTAATGACGACAGGTGCTGTTAGCGAAAGAGAAAAATATAACAGAATCAGAAGATGAGAATGAATCTGACAGTGAAAATGAGAATAATTCTAACGGAGTTAACAATAAAGATAATTTTGTACAAAATCCAGCAGAGTTGCGTGCTAAGGCTGAACAGCGAAGACAGGCTGGACGAGGCAAGAGACCTTCAAACGATGTTGTCGGTAAGAATTAGAAATATTTTCTATATCTAATATTATATCTAATAATACATAATACAATATCCATTTAGATTTTTTTGTAATATTTAATTTTTTTTTATTATACGCTAATCAAAATATTTGTTCTAAAATCAAATTACGATATTAATATTATATATTACTAAGGTTTACACTACTTATATATTCTAGGTAAACCTAAGGGCCAAGGGCAAGATAAAGAAGTTACTATTAACAGAGATAAGAAAAATGCGCATAAAGCTACACGGGCTAATCACAATCGTCGTGCAGGTGCTCAATGGAAACAAAGACACGGAATGATACATTCGTGAAATATTTATCGGAATATTTTCTGCCGATAAAAAAAAAAAACAAATATCCATATATTTCCACAATGTAAATACTGCCAAAAACGTTTTAGCGCTAACTTTCGTACAATTATTTAACTAAATGATTTACTTTTTAAGATACAATTCCKTACAACTTATTATGTATGTTGTAAACCTTAGCGAGAGAAAAATTTATTTGGTTGTAATATAGTTTACGAAAAATGCTTATAGGCATCATCATCATCCCTCCCCAAAGCCTTAAGAATAATTTTATGGATAAAGATAATGGAATTGTTAAAAATACATTTTGTATGATTATTATATCCTAGTCTTTTATACTGCTAGCATTTTTATATATCTTTGCACGATGGAATAATTAAAAAGTTATTTCTTTTGGTATTAAAAAAAGAAAAAAAAAAAATCCTTGACATTAATGATCTTTCACGATTGTTAATCCTCTTATTCTATTAATTTGACTATTAATCGATTGCTGATATTCTTCTTCTGGTATCGCACCGCTAGGAGATTCAGAAGGATTATGTATAGGCATCAATTGCGTAAAAAGTCCTGTTGTGTTACCGTAATAATCTAATTGTATCATTATCAGAGCATGTATGCTCGGTTTGATATATTCCAGTCTTTTGTCAAGAAACATTGGTAAATCTATAAGTAATTGAGCATGTAATGTTTTCAATTCCTTAGCAGCTGCTTCCTCCATTCTACGTTCTCTCTCCAATTTGGCAATATGACTTGCTGTTCTGTCTTTCTTTTCTTGCAACTTTTTAACGCGATTGTAAGAATATTTCCAAGCGGTTACCAACTCCTCTCTCTTAGCTATCGCTGCAGCGATCAATGCGAATTCATCTCGCAACTTTTTTAAGGGATCTATGAAAGTTTTGTGACACAATGCAGCCATTTCTTGTACGGTTTTACCGACCTGTTGCAAATGTCAAAGGAAAAGAAAAGAAACTTGTTTCGATAACTCGACAATTGAATTCACGTTGCATGTTACCATTACATACCTGTGTAGTAATCGAATGATACTCTTCGACGATTCTCCTAAACTCATCGCTAATATGAGTAAGACCGCAAGTAGTTAAATTCATGCTCAAACGTTGATCAGCTCGATCCAAATTAACTACAGCTTGGAGATACTTTTTCATTTCTTTTGTTAACTTTCTTATTGTATCTTCAACACTGTTGTAAAAATTCATAATAATATAAATACGATGAAATGAGAATTTCTTTTAAGAATACTTATAAGAAGAGAAAATAATCATACTAGATCAGTCTCTGTACTGCAACATCCAGTTCTCTATCCTCAGCGTGAGAAAGTAGAGGTTGCGCTGGACTTGGTCTTAATGTCAAATGATTTTTTTTAAGCGGGTTCCTAATATTATAGTAAAATTTTTAAATACATTGTTTGAATACTTTATTAATTATTATTATTACATTCATAATTGTGCGATTTTACTTACCACGTCATGTTAAATCTCGAAAGAATGAGGTTATCATATTTTAAATTCTCTTCGACTTGAAATTTTCGTTCACACGAATATGACGCAGTGACAATGGAATTTCGATGTTAAATTCTCCGATAACCCGAAACATTTGGAGATGTTTATCGTTCTCGTTATCGGAACTGGAAACCGATAAGATTCAAGATTATCTTTTCTTTCATAGTTTCACATTTTTCACGCACAAGTTCGTAATTAACTTTGTATTCATAAACGATTGACATTATTTTCTCGAATTTGTAAGATGACGTCTTAGCAATCGATAATTCCTTCCTTTTTTTTACCCTTTGTACAAATCTTACGAAACATTCTAACCTATAGTATTTCGTGTAAGGGATTTCGTTCGAGTTCGCGCATGCGCACTTGAATCTATCAAATTTATCTCTTTTCAAATTATTATTGCATTAATAAGTTGTTCGAATCTTTTTAAATACAAATTCTTGTTTATTAGAAATTTATTTTTTATATTACAGTTCGTTCAACTTATCATTTATATTTCTATAATTTCAATTATTTACATAATAATTTGTTAATATATTCACTATCAGTGTCACATGTCTGTAACTTACTGATTTTCATTGAGATCCCAGCATTGAACATTTGCAATTATGATTGATGTGAACAATAAATTTTAAGCTATTGAAATCACTTTTCCGCTTCACAATAGTGAATGTATTAATATTGACTAAGTTATCGGAGGATTATAGTAGCTTATTAATCTAACGAGTAGGAATATTGAAAAATGATACAGCTCCTATTATTTCTATCCAATCTAAGATTAAAATATTGCTTAACTATTTTATACTCTAGTGATCTATTATAATTAATTCATCAATGCCCCAATCCTCATAACTGTTATCCGGTAAATATCGCCTAATGACGATAGGAATTTTTCTCTGTTTCAATTCTTTCATAGCGATTTGTAAAGGATCAGTTTCACCTTCTAATTCAACCATTACAGGAGCGCACATTGCTATCTGTAACGCTCTTGTCCCTAACACCCGTGCCCGTTCATATCTGCGAAAGAAAATATAATTAATTAAAAAATATTATTTTTGTTCTCAAACTATGAATTGTTCCTCTTGTTTTAGATTGAATTATTATTATAGTAACAATAATGATAAAGCTATAAAACAATGCATTTAACAATGTTAAATATATTTTTATAAAGTTGGAGACGACGAAACACTGTTAAAAAGAGGTGAAAATCCTTAAAGAGCGAAAGAAAGACTAGAAAAAGGTTTAAAATTTAGATCAAATCTAATAGATGAGTTAATTATATCTATGTAATAAATATGTGTTAATATCTGTATTAATTATTATGCTTTTAAGCCAAGCATGGCTATTAATAAGTAAATAAAGAAATGAAATTTTACTTTGTCATATATCTTGTGGTTATTCTTTTAGATCTTTGAACTCCTCCAGATGCTTCACCTGCAGCTAATAATTCAATATTTTCACCATCTTCCTCTTGTGCTTCCAATTCTATATTATCGTCATCATCAACATCATCGAAATCATCTGCAACTCTAAAACAATTTTTAGGTTATGCAACGAATGCATTCTATTCTTAAAAATAAAAGAATAAAGTATCAGGAAGAAAAGAATTATTTGTTCTTACTCGTCTCCGTCGAAATCCTCGTCAGCCATAATTATTATTTATACACAAATTACGTTTATTTATATTGAACGTTTTATAAAATAAATTTGCACAAAGTATCTTGATTGTTGACCACTAATTGAATCACTGGTAACTATTTATAGTTATGTAGTTAGGATTTATTGTCAAAAGAGATCGCGCATGTTGCATTGACTCTCTAAAGAACGTCGGTAAAGTAGATTCTGTTTAAATTTTATAGGGGAAAAAAAAAGAACTATCGTAAATTATATCTATTTCTATTTGTATAATAATTATTTTTTCTTTTCTTTTATATTATTTTCAATTTCTTCTTATAAAAATGCAATAAATTAATATTTAAAATGATTACATTATTGATCAACAGCAGAAAAAAATGAATAAGTGCTTTTAATTGCTCACTAATTCCTCAATCAAAATCAATAAATTGCTCACTTTTTATTAATTCATTATTTAATTAGTTATTAATAATTGAAAATACAAAAACAAATTTTCCCATTTCTAAGCAAAGCAATGAAGTTTTGTATTGTTTTTTGTTTTCAATTAATTGCTCGCTTTTTGCTTACCCAGCTCCTCAACTTTTAATTATTAATTATTTAATTAGTTATATATAGTATAGTTTTATTTAAACAATTGTATCAAAATTGCATTGACACTAGCATCAATTAATTAACAATTATTTTAATGCACTAATGCACTTTTGTTATGTTACAGCTAAATGTTACTCTAGAAGTTATCTCTGTGCAGGAGCATTAAAAWAATTACATAAAAATTAAAAGAATACCAAAAGAAGAACGTTATAATGTTAAATTTTATTGATTAAGTGGATTATTGATTTTATACACATGCGCAACGTTAGGAAAGTCATATAAACAACATTGAATAAAAGTAATTTGATAGAGGACAACATCTCATTTCAACAGTGAATTTCGAAGGGGACGGTACATGCATCATATATTTCAAGCTTTTAAACAGCAATAGATATTTCTATCGATTAATTAACAATTATTCTAATATTCTAATGCACTCTTTTTATATTTCAGATTGTTTAAACACATACTATGTATGTACTGGTTTAAAAATTGCATACTTATTAACATATTTTAAATATAATATAATTTCGATGTGATATGCTTTTAGATGAAAATGAATGTTAAAACAAAT